CATGTAGGTTCCAGCATTGAAATTCCATCACCAGGCTGGGGGGGGGCAATTGCCTTTGCTTATTGAGTCAACTCACAACTGCCCTGGTGTTGCTTTTAAATGCTAATTTTCCTCTGTGTTTGTTAAATACATTTCTTCATGTCTTCAAGCGCATACATATCCTTCCATAAAAGTATATTTAAGGTTTTTCTTCTATTTGTCACTCCAAAGCACACTAGACAGGTGAGGAGAAGTCCAAACGAACACGTGTGGCTTTCCTACTTTATACACAGATAGATTAATATGGTTGCATGTGTGATTACATACAACCATATTAATTCCTAGCGCGTGGATCTGTGTCAACCAGTGCTACTACTATGAAAGGGATTGTGGGGATGTTAGCCTTGCTTTGATGACTGTTGTTTGAAGAATGTCCCCCCCACTGGTATAGTTTTACACCTGATCCCCAGCTGGGGGTGCTATTTCTAAATGTTGTGGAACCCTTAGGGGGTGGCACTTGCTGGAAGAAGATGGTCACTTGGGGGCGGGTTTGAGAGTTACCACCCCAGTTCCACTTATTCCACTCTGGGATCCACACTGGGGCCACCTACCGTAGCCATCTACACTAGTGTCCCTCCATGAGGAACTGTGGACAAAAGCAAACCACTTTTCTCCTGAGTGGCTTCTTGTCAGTATTTGGTCACAGCAACAAGAAAACAAATGCAACGACCTTAGAAACGCCCTCATACTTGCAGAGTTGCCCACGAACAAAGTCCCAACGTGAACTTTCTGTTCATACAAATGAGAGTGTTCTTTGTCTACTTAACTAAAATAGGACTCTGGGTGATAGTTCCAGCTGACATTGTCTGTCCTTGGTTTGTTTGAGACAGGGTTACTCTGTGTAGCCCTGGCTGTCCTGGAACTCACTCCTGTAGGCGAGGCTGGCCTCTAACTCAGAGATCCTCCTGTTTCTGCCCGCAGAGTGCTGGAGTTGCATCACCACCTGACGTCTTTGTTGCTTTTGCCAAGGCTCTCCACAGGCAGGCACAGTGACAACAGTCCAGCTTCAAAGGTGTCTGGACTGTTGCTCCCCCACCCAAGGAACCGATCTTCCCAGACGCTTATTAAGCAGGACGTCCCCCCATGGCATGGGCACCACCACTCCCATGAGTTTTTTTGTTGTTGTTGTTGTTGTTGTTTTTTTGTTTTTTACGAGACAGGGTTTCTCTGTATTGTTTTGGAGGCTATCGGTCCAGCCCGGCCTCGAACTCACAGAGATCCGCCTGCCTCTGCCTCCCGAGTGCTGGGATTAAAGGCGTGCGCCACCACCGCCCGGCTCCCATGAGTTTTTTATTGCTCTGTGAGCCAGGTGATTTGTGACTGATTGTGCTGTTCTAAAGGAATATAATTGATGTTTATTAATTTACTTTGTGTTTGACCTCCTGAATGAGCATCCTATTTAAGGTTTGTCAGTGGCCTATATACTTAGCTGTGTAGGGCACTTGCTTAGCATGTGTGAGACCTGGGTTCAATCTCTGTTAACACACACACACACACACACACACACACACAGATAAACATGCACACACACAGACACACACAGTCACATACATACACACTCACATACACAGTCACACACACAGACACACACACAGATATACATGCAGACATACATACAGACTCATAGACACAGTCACATACACACAGTCACACAAATGCCGACAGTCACACAGAGAGAGAGACACACACACACAGAGACACAGGCACACACACACACATAGATATACATGCAGACACACATACAGACTCATAGACACAGTCACACATACAGGCACACACACACAGAGACACACACAGAGACACAGGCACACACACACACATAGACATACATGCAGACACACATACAGACTCAGACACAGTCACACACACAGGCACACACACACACACACACACACACAATCTGCTCAAACGTAAAATCTGCTACCTGTTCTTTGACTGGGTCCTACTTAGGCACTGAAATCTGGTCACTGAGAGAAGCTCACTTTAGAACACCATGAGATCACTCAAGAAATTGAGGTTGATAATGATACAATCACCTCACTGGAATTTATCTGGGGATAAATGGTCTAGGAAGGGACACATGAATCTTTGTTTGACGTAATTAAGAATCAAGGCCCCTGAGCCACACAAGTGGCCAGACCCCTCCCCTGAGGACATTTAACCGCCAGGTTCTACCCTCAGAACACTCTAACTGCCATAGCTGCTGGCGCTTATAGAGTAAAAAGCCCAGTCTCTGGACATGAAATCCCACCAATCTCCACCCTGGAAAGCTCCATCCTGAAAAGTCCCACGCCTTCCCAAGAAGCTCTGTGTGAGCCTGGTGTCCTGTTCAGTTCCCTGCTGTTTCTCACCCAGCAGAGGCAGAGCAGAACACCCTCCTGCTTTTTTCCCTCCCAATAGATCTCTTGGGTGAGGTTTGTTGTGCAGTGTGACTTTGTGGTGTCCCTTGGCTCTTGACTGCCAGGACACCTTTCCACCTGAGCTGCAATGCTTACAAAGAGCAATGTCACCATTGATTAACCTCATCACCAGAGGGGGTCCTGGGGGTCTGGAAACTTCTCATACTCATTCTAATAGTTCCAAAAGAAAATCTCTTGTTAAACAACAATACCATCAAGAATCAGAACCAGAGTCAGTAAGATGGCTCAGCAGGTACAGGCCTTGCGGTGTGAGCCGGGTGACCTGAGCTCGGTCCCTAGAACACACATAAGGTGTCTGGTGATGACTGACTCCACAGTTATCCTTTGGCCTCTGTGTGTTTGCTGTGTCCAGCATGGGCACATCATACACACTAAAAACTTTTATTAAAAAGAAACCAGAAGTATGATTCTCCTGTTCAGTATGTATGCATTTACAACATTAAATTAACTTATAAATGTAGTATATTAAATCATATGACTGAAAAAAATCCATCTGATATTTGGTTATCTGAAAAGACAGGCATCTGAAGCAGGAGATTCAGATCAGTCTAGAATGCTTGCCTATATAGGTTTATGGGGGAGACACGGAAAGATGTTAGACACAGTATGCTACTTTGTAAAATATTTATTTATTTATAGACAGTGGCTTTACTATGATGCGCAAGATGGCCTCTGACTCCTGCACTCAGATAATCCTCCTGTCTCAGCATCCCAGATAGCTTAGACCACAGAAGCATAGCACCATGCCTAGCTATAACCTAGTCTTGCTCCAAGTAAAACTTTGTGATCAAGAAACACGACATTACCCTAACATTATCAAAATTATTTTTCTTAAGCTAAGTCAACATCGAAATATCATTGCATCTCTAGGACAAGCTGTAAGTTTTGTGCTGGCATTTAGTGTTATTTACTAGTGGTAACTTATTATTTAACTGAAAAACTGTTCATTCTTGGAAACCCTCAGCTGGTCTTGAACAACCATATTTTTATGCATTTATATAGTCTTACATATTTTTAAACACATTTGATGTGTTCATATTTAATTAGGGTTTATGCACAGACCTCTTATTCTCTGGGTGTGTTCATGCAAAATAGTTTTTCCCCCTTTTCAGTGGAGTTATTGTTGAAAAGTCTCATCAGATATTTTCTTATGGGAATATCTACAGCTTCTAATCAGTTTCTTAAGTGGTTACAACCACTTGAGGTTTGTGTTTCATTATCTGTGTGTCTTGTCTTGGCCTTCATCAATTTCATTTAAAAATCCCAACAAACATAAACTTTGTCATCCTCTGCATCTTATTTTTCATTCTTTATATTCCAGTTTTTTCCCTCAATATATGTTTCTATTTAAATTAGAAATATGAATGTTTCACATGTCAGTCCCAGCTCCCTCTCCCACCCCCCCTCCCTTGTCCCTCCACCAGCCCCCCCACCCAATCCCCACACCATTCCCCAGGGAGGGTGAGGCCCTCCTTGGGGGGATCTCCAGAGTCTGTCATTTCATCCATGGCAGAACCTAGGCCCTTCCCCACGTGTCCAGGCTGAGAGAGCATCCCTCTATTTGGAATGGGCTCCCAAAGATCATTCATAAACCATGGTGAACACTGATCTACTACCCAAGGCCCCAGTGATTTCTGTGGCCTCATTACTGACTCTACATTCATGGAGTCTGGATCAGTCCCCTTTTAGCCTCTCAGCCATCAGTCTGGGATTTAAGAGCTCCCCCTTATCTGGTCAGCTGTTTTTGTGGGGTTCACCATCATGGTTTTGACCCCTTTGCTCATCACTCCTCCATCTCTGTCACTGGGTTCCAGGAGTTCAGTTCAGTGTTTAGCTGTGGGTATCTGTCTCTGCTTCCATCAGCCACTGGATGAAGGTTCTAGGATGCCATATAAAGTAGTCATTACCTTACCATCAAGGAGGGGCTATTAATGTAGTCTCTCCACTATTGCTTAGTTTGCCAGTTGGTGTTATCCTTGTAGATCTCTGGAGATCTCACTAGCGTCAGATCTCTCCTCAAGCCTATAATGACTCCATCTATTATGGTATCTCTCATCCCAGTTTTTATTCATCTGTTTTGCAGAGATTGAACCCCGTGTCTGGTGTACGCTATTCAAACACTCTACCACTGAGCCACACCCTAGTATAGTCTAATTTTTTATATTGGTAACTTGTGCCTGAGTCTTCTCACTACAGGTGTGTGAACTGATCAGTCCTTTCAGAGACTCAAGTTTCGGCTTGATCATTCCTCTTCACAGTTTCCCTCAGTAGCTCTGGTTGCCTTGGAGCTCACTCTGTATATCAGGCTGGCTCGAACTCACAGAGACTCTGCTTGCCTCTGCCTCCGAGTGCTGGGAGTAAAAGCGTGTTTTCTCATCTCTTACGTTCCACTTTGTGTGGTTTAATTCTGGTAGAACAGGGCGAGAAGCCATTATGCAGCCTGGTAAGCCATTATTCCGTGCCTGTCTCCTTCTTCAGCCGTGTATGCTGTTTATGCTGCAGTGAGGTGACGACTCCTTCCGGGAGCCCTGTCCACTCAATCACGTGTTTCTGTGCGTCTGTTGTACGTTTGCCTTTGTTCCTTTGCCTCCGCAGTCCGTGTTCCCAACCCTCTTGCATCTCCTTTTCTGCAGGTATGGAGTGCATCTGGGTGCTTTGTTTGGGGTGCTGTCACTAATTTTGGAAAATGCTGTCAGCCCGTTATCCCTGTCTCTTACTCATCTCTTTCCTTTTGGACTGGAGCTCTGAGTAGACGTAGCTTCTTATGCTAAGCTCAATGTTACGTACACTCCTGTTTTCATTTACCTGTTCATGTCTCCGTGTTCCGAATAATGCCTTCTTGTCTGTCTTCTAATGCTGTAATTGTCTTTTCAGATGTTTCCTGCATGTTGGTAAATCCGAGGCTGGTATTTTCATTGTTGTTTTGCATCTCAAGAAGTTTTGTTTAGTTCTTACAGTTGTGCTAGTTTGCTTTCCTATGGTTTCCTAGTTCCTGCTGTTTACTTTTTATTGCTACAGTATGCAGACTTGTTATCAGTAATTGAACTATTCTTATGTCTCAGGTTTTTCTTTTTGTTCTAAGATTTGGTTTTGCTGTTTGCTTTCCTGCTGTTTCTTGTTTTCCAGGACTTGTCCCTTGTGACATGCTTACTTCTATTAGCTGCTTTTGGGTTTACCTCGGCAAATTATTTCTGAGAATCCCTTAGTGCCAAGCCTCCTCTTCTTCCTGGTGCAAAGACACTGTCAATGGAGAAACGCCTTAAACTCAGGCTTACGGTAAGGGTTAGGGTGTCTCAGACCACCTTAGTATTGCGTGCAGTCATTGCTGAAATATTCATAAGGAAACAGTTTCTCCAAGTCAACTTTTATCTCCCAGTGCTGCTTTTTCTGGAACTGAGGTAACTACACATGGATACAAGGCAGCCTTACCCGGAGCAAATGGCCCTCATGAACTTGGCTTTGTGGGAGAAGAGTTGCCTTTTGGATCTTTACCTTGGATTAGCCCTGGGCTATAATTTTTGTTGTCGACCCTCCACAAGGACTAAAGCCAGGGTTTACCTGGCTCAGCAAATGTTCCCAGAACAACAGCAATTTACCTTTGGCATCCCTTTCCATTCAGGCTTTGCTGGAACTCCTTACTGGGTCCTACTGCTTTAAAGAGGTTGTGATGTGCCATCTACCATCATTTTTAAATTGTGCTCCCCACGATGCCCCCCTTGGGAATGGCTGGTCTGAATAACCTACCCTGCCTGCCATATTGTTAGAATGGTAATCTTTTTTTTTTCAGTCAGCTTTTTAAAAATTTTTATTATTTAAATTTTAAACAGCTTGTCACATGTCAATCTCAGTTCCCTCTCCCTCCCCTCTTCCCACACCCCCCCATCATCCCCCCCAGCCTCCCACCCTATCCACATAGGGGATATCTAGAGTCTGTCATTTCACTCAGGACAGGGTCCAGGCACTCCCCTAAGAGTCCAGGCTGAGAGAGCATCCCTCTTTGTGTTATGGACACATGATGTCTGCTTGTATGCCAGGGATAACTACTGATCCACTGCCCAGGGCCCCATAGGTTGCCCAGGCCTCTTCATTGACTCTTACATTCAGGGGGTCTGGATCAGTCCCATGCTGGCCTCCCAGCTGTCGGTCTGGGGTCCAAGAGCTCTACCCTGTTCAGATCAGCTGTCTCTGCTGGTTTTGCCAGCCCATTTTTGCCAATTTGCTCATCGCTCCTCTCTCTCTGTCACTGGGTTCCTTGGGTTCAGTTCAGTGTTTAACTGTGGGTGTTTGCCTCTGCTTCCATCAGTCACTGGATGAAGGCTCCAGAATGGTTATATACATCAAGTTCATTTATCAGGAATGGGCATTTGAGGTGGTCTCTCCACTATTGCTTAGCTTGACAGTTGGTGTCATCCCTTTAGATCACTAGAGGTCTCACTGGTGCCTGATCTATCTTCTAACCTATGATTCCCTCTTCCCCCTATTCTACCCCCCCACTCAAACTTCCTGTTCCCCCATGACCTATTCTCTCTTCCTTTCTCCCCTCTCTTCTTCCCAGCTCCCACTCCCCCCACCCCTCACCATGATCCCCATCTGTTCAGAAGATCTTACCTCGTTCCTCTTCTCTGGGGTACCATGAATATCTCTCTCATGTTTCTCAGACTCTCTGGCATGGGATTGTAGGCTGGCACTTCCCGGATCCATGTCTAAAATCCGTATAAGAGTGAGTACATACCATGTTTGTCTTTTAGTGACTGGGTTACCTCACTCAGGACGGTTTCTTCTAGTGCCATCCATTTACCTGCGAATTTCAAGATTCCATTTTTTTTTCTGCTGAGTAATACTCCATTGTGTAAATGTACCACATTTTCTCTATCCACTCTTCAGTTGAGAGGCATCTAGGTTGCTTCCAGGTTCTGGCTATTACAAATAATGCTGCTATGAACATAGTGGAGCAGATGTCCTTGTTGTATGAATTTGGGACTTTTGGATATATGCCTAAGAGTGGAATTGCTGAGCCTTGTGGTAGATTGATTCCCATTTTCCTGAGGACTCTCCATACTGATTTCCAAAGTGGCTGTACGAGTTGGCACTCCCACCAGCAGTGGAGGAGTGTTCCCCTTTCACCACATCCTCTCCAGCATAAATTGTCTTTGGTGTTTTTGATTTTAGCCATTCTGAGAGGAGTAAGATGGTATCTCAAAGTTGTTTTGATTTGAATTTCCCTGATGGCTAAGGATGTTGAGCACTTTCTTAAGTGTCTCTTGGCCATTTTAGCCTCCTCTATTGAGAATTCTCTATTTAGTTCTGTACCCCGCCTTTTAATTAGATCCTTTGGTGTTTTGGAGACTTGCTTCTTGAGTTCTTTGTTAAATTTGGAGATTAGCCCTCTGTCAGATGTAGGGTTAGTGAATATCTTTTCCCATTCTGTGGCCTGCCTTTTTGTCTTTTTGACTGTGTCCTTTGCCTTACAGAAGCTTTTTAGTTTCAGAAGGTCCCATTTGTTAATTGTCCATCTCAGTGCCGGTGCCACTGGTGTTATGTTTAGGAAGTGGTCTCCTGTACCAACTCATTGAAGAGTATCTCCCACTTTCTCTTCTAAAAGTTTCAGTGTGGCCGGATTTATGTTGAGATCTTTGATCCATTTGGACTTAAGTTTTGTACAAGGCGATAGACATGGATCTATCTGCAGTCTTCTGCATACCAGTGCCCAGTTATGCCAGCACCATTTGTTGAAGATGCTTTCTTTTTTCCATTGTATAGTTTTAGCTTCTTTGTCAAAAATCAAGTGTTCATAGGTGTGTGGATTAAAATCAGGGTTTTAAATTCGGTTCCATTTGTCTACCTGTCTATTTTTGTGCCAATACCAAGCTGTTTTCAGGACTATAGCTCTATAATAGAGCTTGAAGTTAGGTATGGTGATGCCTCCTGAAGTTCCTTTATTGAATAGGGCCTTTTGTTTATCCATATAAAGTTGATTATTGTTCTTTCAAGGTCTGTGAACAATTGTGCTGGAATTTTGATAGGGATTGCATTGAATCTGTAGACTGCTTTTGGCAAGATTGCCATTTTTATTATGTTGATCCTACCAATCCAAGAGCATAGGAGATCTTTCCATTTTCTGGTATCCTCTTTGATTTCTTTCTTTAAAGACTCAAAGTTCTTGATATACAGGTCTTTCACTTCCTTGGTTAACATTATCCCCAGATATTTGATGCTGTTTATGGCTATTGTAAAGGGTGCTGTTTCTCTGATTTCTTTCTCAGCCACTTCATCATCTGTATATAATAGGGACACTTATTTTTTTGAGTTTACCTTTTATCCTGCCACTTTGCTGAAGGTGTTTATCAGCTCTAGGAGTTCCCTTGCGGAGTTTTTCGGGTCACTTATGTAAACTATCATATCATCTGCAAATAGTGAAAGCTTGACTTCTTCTTTTCCTATTTGTATCCCCTTGATCTCCTTTTGTTGTCTTATTGCTGTAGCTAGAACTTCAAGTACAATATTGAAGAGATAGGGAGAGAGTGGACAGCCTTGTCTTATTCCTGATTTTCGAGGAATTGCTTTGAGTTTCTCTCCATTTAGTTTGATGTTAGCTGTTGGTTTACTGTATATTGCTTTTATTATGTTCAGGTATGTTCCTGTTATCCCTGATCTCTCTAGGACCTTTATCATGAAGGGGTGCTGGATTTTGTCAAAGGCTTTTTCAGCATCTAGTGAGATGATCATGTGGTTTTTCTTTCGCAGTTTGTTTATATGGTGGATGACATTGATAGATTTTTCTAATGTTAAACCATCCCTGCATTCCTGGGATGAAGCCTACTTGATCATGGTGGATGATTTTTCTGATGTGTTCTTGAATCCGGTTTGCTAGTATTTTATTGAGTATTTTTGCATCGATGTTCATGAGGGAAGTTGGTCTATAATTCTCTTTCTTAGTTGTGTCTTTGTGTGGCTTGGGTATCAAGGTAATTGTAGCCTCATAAAAAGAGTTTGGCAGTGAGCTTCCTGCTTCTATTGTGTGGAATACTTTGAGGAGTATTGGAATTAGCTCTTCTTTGAATTTCTGGTAGAATTCTGCACTGAAGCCATCTAGGCCTGGGCTTTTTTTTGGTTGGGAGACTTTTGATGACTGCTTCTATTTCATTAGGGGTTATAGGTCTGTTTAGATTGTTTATCTGTTCTTGATTTAGTTTTGGCAAGTGATATCTATCCAAGAAATTGTCCATTTCCTTTATATTTTTGAATTTTGTGGAGTACAGATTTTTCAAAGTATGCCCTGATGATTCTCTGGATTTCCTCAGTGTCTGTTGTTATGTCCCCCTTTTCATTTCTGATTTTGTTAATTAGCATGCTCTCTCTCTGTCTTTTGGTTAGTTTGGACAGAGGTTTGTCTATTTTGTTGATTTTCTCAAAGAGCCAACTCTTTGTTTCATGGATTCTTCTCAATGTTTTCCTGGTTTCTACTTGATTGATTTCAGCCCTCAATTTGATTATTTCCTGGCATCTGATCCTCCCGGTGAATTTGCTTCTTTTTGTTCTAGAACATTCAGCTGTGTTATTAATTCTCTAGTGTGACTGTTCTCCCTTTTCTTCATGTGGGCACTTAATGCTATGAACTTTCCTCTCAGCACTG